GAGACAGAGGCCCACCCCACCGGCCCCCGTTCTCACTGTGCCCCCGGTCCCCCTAGCCCTGCCTTCCTCAGCTTCCGCACAAGCCTCCTTCCCGCTTTCCAGGATGGAAAGAGAAGGGGGAGGCCTGCCTTCGCTCAGGATCTGGGTCTTAAGTCCCCCTCAGTCATTCCATCCCGGGCTTCCTACCTACGTGGCCTGTGGCCTGCGCTGGGGCCTGCTCTCTCGGCTTGCACCCCCCTCCCCGCAGCAAGAACAGAGTAGGATCTGTACAGAGTGGGTGGGGCAATCTCCAGGCAGAGGGTCTCCTCCTCAGGGTGCCACTCCTTGATTGGGGCAAAGCTGGTCCTCAGGAGGCCCCTGCCTGGCCCAAACAGCTCTCCTCCACCTGCTTTGGCCTAATTTGGCTGAACAGAGGCGATGCTATTTGGGGCATACCACGGAAAGAGAAGAATCGCTGGAAAAGACAAGAGTGCCAGGGGAAGGTATAAGATGGATTGGCAGTTAGAAAGGCCCGTAGCCTGAAGCTGATATAAATGGAGGAAAGGATCTTAATGGTGGAACACTTTGGAGGTTCCTTAACGGTTGCCATAATTTAGAAGTAACCTGAGGGCACATAAAACCCAAATTGTGACAATCAAAAATTTGAAATTGTTAGACTGTCTTTACTTCGGTTCAGTTATGAATCAAAATGGATCCAGAAGACGAGAAGGAAACTCAGGCTTGGAAGTTCAGTGAGGAAAGAACTGATGCCCATGGTCACAAGATGAGAAAGAAGAAACGGCTGAGACGCACGGACGGTCTCATCCCACAACAAAGCAGGATAAGGCATTTAAAAGCAGCCAGCCCAAGAGACCTGTTGCCTTGGGGAGGGGAGGCATGGCACGTCTGCCCCCTTAAGAGAGCCAGGAAAGGAGAGGCGTGAGACTGACCGGCAGCCCCTGAGAATATCCGCCCAGCAATAGGTGCAGAAGGAGACCGAGGCCAGAAAGCGGAAAGGACGGAGAAGCGCCCTTGGCTTTTCTTCTCCCAAATGTTCCTTGGGGTCACCTGGACTGGACAGGTGCTAAGAGGCCATGCTTGGAGGAGGCCATGCTCACAGGAACTCGAAAAGATCTTTGAGAGTAAGGATGTATCCGTGGAGACCAAGGCCAAGATCTTCCATACAACATTATTCTCAGTTCCTCTATATGGATATGAAAGTGGTTGATAAAGAAAGTTGAGCACTGAAAGAAAGGAAGGAAAAAGGAAAGGGAGAGCTGGAAGGGCTTTCGAGAGGTCACTGGTTCATCAGGTTGCCACACACCAGGAGTGACATGATGGCACATAAGCCACACCCTTTCCTGTGTTCAAAGGGCACAGGATGCAACAGTGGGGGGGGGGAAAGGGGCCCCAGGAATGTCTGAGCCCCAATTCTGTGTGATGGGGAGGGAACAGAGCATCAAAGAAATCAAAACAGCCTTCCACATGGCTTCTCAATTTCAAGTGAGGGAGAGCTTTTCCCTGGGGACAACCCCCCTCAAATTCCCAAATCCTCCCACTTGGCAGGGCTGTTGGTCTGTGGCCTCTCCACTGAGCCCCAAGCTAGCAAAACAGCCACGCCAGAAACTGCTGTTCTGCAGCTAGGTAGGTGCGCCGGCAAGAAGCCTTGGCCTTTGGTGGGAGCCCTGTGCCATGAAGCTCGAAAGAGCATCATGACAATGTGGTTAAACTGCAGTACTGCAGCCAAAACTTTGCCCTTGACTCCAGTTCAATCCTAGGCAGCTGGCTGTAGGTTGGCTTAGCTTTCAATCCTTCCTGCATGATGAAGTGGTAAACCACCCACTTAGTTTTGAATGGAATGGGCAGGAGAAGAAGGTGGCAAGTTGCTCCCTCTGGGCCCAAAAGGATGGCAGCGTCTGCAAAAAAAAAAAGGGGGAATGCACTGCTGAGTGACGGCAGGCGGGTGCCAGGCACAGTCGCTGTGATGGAAGGATTGTTTGAGCAGCTGTACCCCAAAGAGAAAGAGAGTCTCTGGCCCAGAGCTGCCTTGTTCATGAGCGACAGGGCAGAAGAAACATCCAACTCCTCCTGTAGCTGCAAGCACGGATGTTGGTTGTCCACTACTCGCTTCCCTTGGAGGAAGGGGATGAACCCAGCAAGTATGACGGGCAGGGCTGGGCTGGGGCGAGGAGGAGCCACAAAGTCCTCTGGGGCCCCCCTTGCAAACCAGAGGCATCCATCAGCCCACCTCCACCACCACCACCCCAGCTGCACCAAGGTTTATTCTCCTTAGCCATAGCTGGCCCTTCCCTAAACCCCAGGCCACCGTCCCTCCCTTGGCCCTATAACGCTGCCCTTAGTACGAGTGATGCAGCCCAAAGGGTCCCAAGCTGTGGGCCTGGGACTACCTGCAGGGGCTTGTCAGGCCTCTGAAAGGACCAACCACAGAGCAGTGGAGCACATCAGCCACAGCCAGCCCCCCCTCCGCAACCTCTATCCCCCAGGACAGAAAGGAAGCCTGGGACTGCTGAAAGGAAACCTGGGACTGGCAAAGCCACAGTCGTTGTGAGCCAGCTCCCTTCCCCACAAGCCCTCTCCCCACCAAGTGACCCAGCAAGTGTGGCTTCCTCCAGATCCACCCCGCTGCCCCCTCTCCTGCTGCTGAATGGTGAGACAACCCTCCCCAGCACCTGGCTATGCTCAGAGATCCATAGGGTGCCTGACTCAGCTGTGTGGCTCTTGTGAACACCCACGGCCGACATGGGGACGGGTGTTTTTTTTTTTAAACACTGTTGCTCGTTTTTACCACAGCTCTAGCACTTCTGATGCTTGATGGGGTTTCAGAAGCAGAAAAGGGACAATCTCTGGTCCCAGAAAAATTACAGCGTAGAATTAACAGTGGGCAGGACAGCAAAGGGGGGGGAGAAAGCATGTGGAGGGGATGGAGGAAGGGAATAGGGAAGCATGGGCAAATGCAGTTCCTTGCGTTACACGTGTGTGTGAGGGGCTGACAGAGTGGTCTTCCCCTTCTGTAGCGCTCCAGGAAAGGAAATGGGAATGCTGCGAAATCACTCTTTGGAAGATGCTGTTTTCATGAGCTTGTCATGTGGGATCACAAACGCTCCTTCAGTTTTTCATAGGAAGACAGCAAAATGCCTCAGAGGCACACAAGGAGTCACCTTAATGGACCAGAGCATTCTCTCGCACAGCAGCATTGCATGGTGCGGCGCATGCAGCATGGCACATCAGCGGAGGAGCCTGACAAGACTGGCTCTCCCTTTTAACGGTGCCCAGGAATTGGGTCTCCCAGCAGACAAAGAGGAAAGAGACTTTTTGGGACAGACACTGATGCCACCACAGAGGAAAAAGTCAGGCCCAGCAAAAGCCAGCAGAGTCACCGGAGTGCTTGAGACCAGAGGGTGTCAACACAAAACTGGGAGGCTTCTTGGCCGTGGTGAACTCTCCGGTGATGTGGTGTTTGCAAGGCCACCCCCACAGGGGCCTGCAGTTCATGCACCTCCTGTCCAAACTAGTCTGGAGGTGGGCAGCTGAGACTCCTCAGATTCCATTAACTCTTGGTGGCCTTGGCCAAGGAGGAAGAGATGCAAGAGCCAGCTGAGTGGCAAAGGAGGTTGCAAGGAAAACCCTGATTCCTGCAGGCTCCTTGGCCTGCAATCCCAATATTCCAGGAGACACGGACAGCTTGCAGAAACAGGCGACCCCTTCAGCTGTGCATGGTTCTTCAATAATGATTAAGTGCAGTCTAGTCAGTTCTGATTTATGGCAACCCTTCTCTGGGTTTTCTTGGTAAGAAGTAGCCAGATGTGGTTACCCGTTCAACTGACTCCAAGGAGGTACAGTAGGGAAATCAAGGTCCATTCCTTGAGCTATCCAACTGACAACATTGCTTTACCACACCTGAAGACTGGCTTAAAGAGATCCGAACAGGTATTGTTGGGAGCCTTATTGGAAAACCATTTGGAAGCCCTCCGATCAAGATGGCATGTATCTCTTAACAGTGCTTTAGGGACCACTCAAAAATATTCCGCCAAGGGGGATGAGAGCATAAGGGCAACAGGGGTCCTTGCTGGTGTAACCACAGCCTTCAACAAAAGAAGCCAGGAACCAAGAAAAGAAAAAAAGAATAAGGCACCAAGGATGTGAAGAGCTGTCCACAGCCTCGGCTGTGAGCCACACAGGCAGCGAGGTGGCTGGAGACTGGCCATTGGCCAAGGAGAAGGAGAAAATGGGGCATGGGTGGGGGGGGTATCAATATAAGGGAAGAAGCTTTAATGTATTCTCGAAGGCTTTCGTGGCTGAGATCTGATGGTGGTTGTGCGTTTTTTGGGCTCTTTTGCTGTGTTCTGAAGGTTGTTCTTCCCAATGTTTTGCCAGTCTCTGTGGCCGGCATCTTCAGAGGAAAGGAGTCAGAACTCTGTCTGTGCTCTGGTGCAGTCTGTTTGGATAGTTGAGTATTTATAGCTGTGGGATCAGCTTTTGTCCTTTTCAGGAGATGGGGGATTGTGGTGATCAGCGTGTTTTTTTCTCCTGAAAAGGACAAAAGCTAATCCCATAGCTATAAATACTCGACTATCCAAACAAACTGCACCAGAGCACAGAGTTCCTACTCCAGTCCTCTCAAGATGCTGGCCACAGAGATTGGTGAAACGTTAGGAAGAACAACCTTCAGAACACGGTCAAAGAGCCCGAAAACCCACAACAACGAAGAAGCCTTAGTTTAACTAAACGCCCTTCGTTGATGTTACTGGGACAGGCCTCACGGCTGACCTGAGTGAACTGGGAGACGGCCATTCCATTCTCTGGCCTCCTGCCCCTGGGAGAGAGAGTGAGATGCCCTGATGGCACAAGGACGACTGCAGCCACTTTGTTGCACAACAGAAAAACGGGCTCCTTTGCTTTAGCAAAGCACAGGGTGTTAGGACGAAACCCCCTGGTTTACCCAGGAGGATTCCTGCCCTCTGGGACGTCTTGGAAGCTCTGCTCTTTGGCCACTACCCGTCACTACCCCTAAGTCCAGGGTGGAGCAGAGAGCCGCAGCCAGGAAAACCCTGGCGCAGAACCAGTCGTATATCAGTAGCAGCAGCCGCAGCACACCCCCCCCGGCCCGATCCGCTCCGAGGACGGGAAGGACCGGCCCCAGTCCGGCCACCTGCAGCTTTCTTGCTTGGGCGGAGTGTCGTCTAGGGGCGGCGGAGAGCTACCGGTCCTTTCCTCCAGGCCCGTTGGCGCCCTTCCTCGGGGCTGGGGAGGCGGCGGGCAGCGGAGCCAACGGCCTTGGCAGAGTGGGATGCGGGCCCAGCGCTTTCGTGCCTTCGCTTCTGGAGGGACGCAAGCCAGCAGGCCGGGCCTTCGCCGTGCTGCCCAAAGGGGCAGCAGGCTTTGCACTTTGCACAATTGAGTCCTGACCGTGTGAAGACAAATATCAACAGTGGCTTGTGTTTGCACATAAGGGCTTTGTGCACCGGTATCCCAGGCCCTATACTTTACATCACTGAATCTGAGAGCAGAAAGTTGGTGGTGTGACTTTGGCTGGAATGGGGTGGGGTGGATGTAGGGGCTCCGCTGGGCATTTTGAAATGAATTGAACTGTGCAAACATTCCACTGAAAAGCTGTCCGGGTAATGCTTTGGAATAGATACCGAGCCCCCTTGTAACACAACTGCTGAAATTTAAATAGCAACTTTCACGCTGGAGCAAGCTGAACAAAAGAGGACAAATAAAACAGACCTGAATGAGATTTTATTTGTTTGCTTTTGTAGCTCAGCTAATATTTCAACAATTGTTCTGACCAGGAATGTGAGGGTTTCCCTTTAGAATTAATTTGAGGGAAACATGAGAAGACTCAGAGTTGCAGCCCGGAGGCCCCGCTCGCGGTGCCCCCGCCCAGAAAAATGGCCGGGAGCAGCTCCATCGAGGCGGTCAAAAAGAAGATCCAGACCCTCCAGCAAGTGGCCGATGAAGCCGAGGAGCGCGCCGAGTACCTGCAGCGGGAAGTGGACGCCGAGCGCCAGGCCAGGGAGCGGGTGAGGGCGGCGGGCGGAGCGCTCCGGGCTGCGGCCCGGCCGTCGTGCCTCGGTGCCCTTCCCCCGGGG